CCCTTTAAAAGGAAACATCAGGAAGAATCTAGATACCTGTTTTCATATCTGTTAAAGGGGTCATAAACTGAGAAACCAAAATTCCCTTGATCTTTTGACATCATTGTATCATAAAAACATCCTGTAAGTTTCAGACAAAGTTTGTCATTAGTCTAAAAACAGCTTATATTGAAGGCAGTGTGCCACAACAACAGCTTTTGGAATGTTCTACATGATGTAATAGTGTAGATAAGCACCGCCTCTGCAGAAGAAGATCAACGCCTGCTTCTACATCACTGCCTGTTAAGCCCCGCCCACCGAGTTGCGCGTGTAGTGTTTATGAGAGAGGCGAACGTACAGGATACGCTTTATTTTTAATGAAGATCCAGATCACGTCATAATGAAAACAGTTACTGATGGTTACTAAACTTGGTTCTTTGTTCACTTCATTTTACCACAGATTCATTTACAAACAAGGAACAATTTGACATGGGATTTTCAAAAAGATTGAAAATAAAAGACAATGCTTTGCCGGCTATATTGTATCTGACAGTAATGTCGCACCACACAAGTGTGAGTAACTTTTCGTTTTCAGTTACGTTTTCATTACGTGGTCACTATTGCTTTGTCTTTTCTTACAGATTGTTTGATATGTACTGAGGTATTTATGTGTTTTTTATCTAAATCACAGCAGCATCCATCTATGAGGAATGTACACTGTCAAACATACACAACTCTTAGCCAATCATAGCAGTGGGCGTTTACTTTCGAGTCTACAATCCGCCACGCCTTTTCATACAGAGCGTTCTGATGAGGGGTGTTAGAAACAGTACAGAAAGTAGCCTATTACTTCTAAATTGTAATGTTTTTGTAAAAAATCTTGCTAACATTATAGGTGGACCTCAGAGAACAGTACAGTACAAAATAAAAAACAAAGGCAGTTCATGACTCCTTTAAATTAGTATTGGGCTCTAGTTGTGTGGGTGGATCTAGTTATGAGGAGAATGAGATGACATGCAAGAAATTAATAGTTTTATTTAACAGGTACACATTAGATTGATACTAAATTGTCTACTGTTACAAAAGATTCTTATAACAAATAAATGCTGTTTTTTTAACTTTCTTTTAGAATCCTGAAAAAGAGTATTATGGTTTCCACAAAAATACTAAACTGTACAACTGTTTTCAACATTTAATTTTTTCCCCCCTGAGCACCAAATCAACCTATTAGAATGATTTCTGAAGGATCATGTGACACTGAGGACTGGAGTAATGGCACATCTTAGTTTATTTAGACTCTGAATGAGGTTTCCACTCCAGTTTGACAAGTCTGAGTAGTTAACTTCTAAAGTTAAATGCTGGTTGATAGAATTTAAGTGCTTTATAGGGATAGTTCACCCAAAACTGAAAATTCTGTTATCATTTACTCACCCTCGTGTTATTCCAAACCTGTATGACTTTCTTTTCTTGAGGAACACAAAAAAGATATTTTAAAGAATCTTTCAACTGTTTGTCCACACAATAAAGTCAACAGGGTCCAAAACAACATCATTGGACCCTTTGACTTTAATTGACCTTTCGCAAAGAGCTTGATTGACAGGCGATCTGACCAATCATAACGCCGAATCTACCATCTTGTCCGACAAACAAACCAGACAGGAGAGTAGATTAATGGAAAATACTGTGTATTGACATCTTTCCGAGGTTGAAATAAAATATGTTCTGATGTTCATTCATGTTTATTTTGTGCTTTAAGTAAATATGAAAAGACGATCGGGTCACGTGGCGCTTAAACTGAGACGCTTAATCGATCTGTCACAACACATTAAAGAGCCACAAAACGGTAGCCTATTTATTATTTGAATTTCTTAAAAAAAAACGTCTTTCTAAAACTTTAAAAAGTCTTTCTAAAAAGATGTTACTGTCATTGTTCAGAGAGTAATGATTTTTGATATGTAATCTCCTTCAACCATATAGGAAAACCTATTTTTTTTATCATTTACAAAGCACACAGACACTGCGTTTAGGGTGTGGTCAGCAGTTATTCGAATTGACTAAGAGTAACATAAGGACTGTCGGGATCTCTTTCACAAATGCTGCCTCCATGTGTGGCTGAATCTGATTTGAGAAAGCCGATCTGAGAGGCTGCTGTCGGGCCGACTAGTGTCTGGTTAGAAGTGTATGGGGTGGAAAGGTAATCTGGTAGAATGTCACCTGTTCTCCACTGGAGAGAGTCTCTCTTACATAGACAGACTGATCCCCATCTGCCACTCAAGCTTCTCAAATAACGGCAGAGATTGTCATTTAGAAAGCACTGATAGTGTATGATTGGAGCCTTTCATAGACTGTACGGCTTACACTCTGCTCAACCAGCAGCCATTGAAATGATAAGCAAAGCATATGTAAAAAGACACATAAGACGACTGAACTTGTTCAAGAAATGAAGTTTTATAGATTCTTTTTTTTTTATTAAAACATCAAACATCTTTAACACCAAGCACATTTGCATCTCTTGATTCTTTTATACACTCGTGTGGCAATATACTTTTTTTTTTTAAAGTCACTGAAAAATACAGTTATTTTAAAGAAGTAGCAAAAAAAACAACAACAACAACAACAAAAACAGGAAATTCTCACCACATTTACATATTTAGGTGTTTTTTGCTGACTAAATTATGTATTTTTTTTTTATTTGAAGCATGTGTTTGTTTTCATAAACCATTAAAGCTTTTACTAGGCGACAGTTAAAATGCCTTGGTAAGTGTTAATTATCTCAACCACAAAATTCCTTTTCATCCTTACACAAAAAGACAAAACAACACACACCATGCTGCATAAATCTCCCAGAGCATTTCATTTGCTTATTTTTTATCTCTGGATCCTCGTCCCCAAGAATGACGTGATGTTATATATTTAGATAATATTGCTGCTTTCTGGTTTTAGATATACATTCATCGACTCATTTGAGTCTTGTTTTATGACATCTGTCTCGCACAGACTTTACCCAGAATGTGTGACTGTTTCTCCTTTTTCAAAATGACTGCTGTGGCATGGCTTAAAGGACAGTGAGCATACCACACACAAACCAATTTAACTGTTTTGTTTTCCACTGCCTAATAAGCATGTGTATGCATGGTAATGTATTCAATCTGGGAAATGGCTCTCAGAGCTCATTTAAAATGAACAATCATGATGCATAAATGTACAGGGAAGCCTTTGCAGTTATTGGTTTAGAGCCCATTGTGTGTAATGTGTGCTTTGTGATGCAAAAAAGTTGAATTTTAAGTTGACAAGAGGGGGCACACATGGGGAAACTGTATTGGCAAACAAACCTACTTCAAACTCATCATCTGCCCCCATGCCGAACCGCTCTCACTCAAACCAACGAGCGTTCAGTTCCTCTGAATACTGAAGACGAGCAGATTCATTCACCTCATCGAACTACAAAGCCCCCCCACCATATACCAAACAATACAATTCATTTAGGAAGATTCACCCATATTCTTTGCCTGATTATCAACACTTTTCATTTGACAGTATATCCTCTTTAAAATGCAGACAGCTAAGAGTGTTTTATGTCAAAAAAGATAACATTTATTGGCAATATTTTATTTACACAGTAACAAGACAAATATATTTATATAATCCTTCATCACACACATGTATATGATTTATTGCTAGGCAGTCTCTATACAAGACAATATACAAGACAGCAGTGCAATATTGATCAGCAAAGGAAATATGGACACTGTGACATTGAACATGAGCCCAATTATGACAATAACTGCAAAAACAAACAAAAAAATCCTGGTGAATCCCCTTGAGTTGTTATTTTTTTGTAAAAATAAAAAAGCCAACCTTCTTGAACAATGATAAAAAAATAGAAATATAGGCTACTCATAACCTAATACAGTTGTTTAAATGGGTCACATGATAAATTATAATTCACCATAAATAGACTGGCTGTTTGGCCAAATATTGTACACTGTCTACAAAATACCATCAGGGTAACACATATGACACTAAAATATTATACATATTAGTGCAGTCAAACGATTAATCGCGAATAATCACATCCAAAATAAAAGTTTTTCTTTACATAATATGTGTGTGTGCTGTGTATATTTATTATGTATACTGTATATAAATACACACACACATGCATGTATATATTTAAGAAAAATTTTATATATTAAATATATTTATATTTAATATAAATTATACAAATATAAATATATACATGTAAATATTTTCAAAATATATTCTGTATGTGTGTGTATTTATATATACATAATAAATATACACAGTACACACATATATTATGTAAAGAAAAACTTATTTTGGATGCGATTAATCATGATTAATTGTTTGACAGCACTATATATATATATATATAAATGAAAAATAATAATACAATTATAATAAGCAAAAAAATGATCTGTCCACAAAAAAAAAACATTTGATAACAGAAAAGGAATGTAAACATGACACAATAAAACATTTAGTTAACCACTTTCAAACAGTGAAAATAAGTTTTAACAGGACATTGCATGCACTTTTGTAAAATATTACGTTTTAGCATGTTTTAAAATAGTTGATTATCCCATATAGGTTAATCCTATACTGTTTACTTACTTTACTTTTTACTAAGTTCATGCAATATCCTGTTCAATTATTATTAATTTGTATTGTTTTTCTTTTCTGTCAAACACTTTGTATCATTTTGGAATGGGAGCTCAGGTTATCACTCCAGTGCAAAAGGCTTATTTTTAACAACATGATTTAACATATGAATATCAATAGTACGAGATCCCTGTATCCATAAGGGCAGTTATTGATAATGCATTATATGCATATATTTTTCATATTGTCATATATATATATATATATATGCGCATTATTTTAGAAGAGGCAAACTGTTTCCTCACTAATCTGGATGTTCAGATCCACAAAGTTTCCATTAGATGGGCTGATGCATCCAATAACCTTTCCGCGTCCCAGCTCTTTCCCCCGCGGTGATCCCGTTTTGACACCGAGACAAAAGCAAAAAAGTAGTATGAATGGTGAAGGAGCGAGCAGGCAAGGAGAAAGCAAGAGGAGGCGGTTAGTCTTTGTAGTCGGTGAGGAATGCGGAAACGCTCCTGCTCTGTGTCAAACTGCTCTGAAGGGGGTCAAGGCACATTCAGCCAGCGTGGGAAAGCGAGGAGCAGACAGAGCACACACACACGCTGCATATTCCTGCTTCGATGGGGAAAACATAAAGGGGTAGGGACTGCCATAGCAGATCGATGAAAATCAGTCCATTTTTTTATCCACTCCGCTTTCTTGAGGGACTGATCAGACGATCTTTCACTTGATTTGCTGTTGCAGTGGTGTGGTATTGCTGGGAGATGGGGCTTAGCGCGTGCACCATCCGACTACCTGTGTGGCCCGTCGCGAGGACACTGCACGAGCTGTGATGCGTGTGGAGACGCTGGGAAACTTACTGAAGTTTATGAATGACGCGACTGTCCGGGCGGAATATAACAAACGGGGTAACTATACTCAGAAAACTCCCATTCACTTGCGCTACTTCTACATTCAGTGCGCGTGTTTGTGCATATGGGGCTTTGCTTGCACGCTAGATGGATTATTCATTACATGTTCATGTTGTTTGAGCGTGGAAACTAATGTAGGCGCTTTAGGGTCAGCGTTTATTGATATGCACAGCTAAACAATGCAAACAGTAGACAACCACGTGCTCGGGGCTGTGTGGCACAAAGAAGAGCAGGGACAATCTTGTCATTAGAAAACTCGGTCAGTTGATTTTTATTGACAATATGCGCATGGGTTAGATTCAAAGCTTGAGTCTGTTACAGTACTGTACGGAAGCGAGTTACATTAGGCATACCTGTGTCGACTCAGATTAGCAAGTAATTATGGATCGGTGACGTGAGGTTATTAAAAAACAATTAAATATGCAGTTCACACAAAATGATTGGAATATACCTTTTCTGTGATCAACTTCTGAATTAAATGCTAGCCTATAATTATTTTATATATATTATTTATATAGGCTACATTTATTATTTAAAATAATTTTTACTTTGAAAAAAAAAAACAGTTCTATATTTGAGTGGCTTAAAGGGAAAAGTGTCAGGGTGGTGTAACTGCTCAAATTGTTTAAAAAAAGTAATTAAAATGTAATTTTTTTTTTTAATTTTGTAGTTTGAATTCATAATTTTTTAAAAACATTTTACAATTGTTTAAAAGTAGGTCTATAAATATTTTTTAAAAAATCTGTAAGTGTGGTTTAACCAGCATGCAAGAAGCCATTTTGTTGTCACGTGACAAGAAAATGATAAAACAGGAAATATCACATTGAGGTCCAGTATAGACCCTCATAATTGTCAAGGCCATTATTTTTGTAATAAATATATGATAATGACTTTTTTGAATGAAAAGACACCTAAATAACATTTTCAAATTTGTGACTGAAAAATTCATAATATTTGTAAAAAAAAAAAAAAAAAGCAACATTGTAAAGTTCAACCACGTGTTCAAACTGCAAAGTATATTTTTGCACGATGGTTACTCCACTTGACACGTTTAGAGTCATTATTAGCTCGAGATGCTGTGAACACAGGCTGAAATGCTAAAAAATTCGGCACTTTAACTAGACCTTTAAAAGATTTCTCCTTTATATCATTTGGGACAAAATCATTTGTCATTCACCTATGCTTTCTTACTCTGGACTCCAGATGTTGATATTTAACGGACTTTCCTTGATATTTGGCTGTAAAGGCGGCTGAGCTAGCTTTGTGTATGTTGTATTGCTCCATGTCTGTTATCTTCAGTGCGTAGATAAGATTTGATTTAACTCTGATCACACTGGTGTTTACCTCTGCCTCCTTTTGTGCTCGCGCTCTACAGGCAGTGCACGTGCCAGCGCCGCTCTCCCAATAATGCCTTTGTGAAATATCCGCGCGCTCGTCACGTTTCGGGATTCCCCGCAGTACCTCGCCGTGAGAAAAAATGGACAAAGAGAGCTCGACCCAACAATATGAGCCGGTGGCTGAGATCGGCGAAGGTGCATATGGAAAGGTGTACAAAGCACGGGATTTGAAGAACGGGGGCCGCTTTGTAGCCCTAAAAAGAGTTCGGGTGCAGACCGAGGAAGAGGGAATGCCGCTGTCAACCATCCGCGAGGTGGCGGTGCTGAGGCAGCTGGAGTCCTTTGAGCATCCCAATGTGGTCAGGTAAAAAAAAAATCAAATAAATAAAAGTGGGGGGATTGGTGGTGCTGTTGACGAGGGATGCATGATAACAAGTCTGTTTTAGTTTGTTTATAGATGGTAACTTAACATTCTTCCTCATGCTGTATGTATTTCCTGCAGGGGTGTAGGTTTGTTTGAAAGTCAGACATCTTACAGCCTTGATATTATAATGTTTTAAAACATGATTAAAGGAGTGAGGAGTGAGGAAGAAGACATTGCACAGTCAGAATGTTTCTGTTAAGAAAAACCTGGTGCTACAATGAAAATAACTTTATTCCTCATATTACAAGTTTCATTTCCTGCACCTTTCTGTGGCCCACAATATTAAATATGACTGCTGACATCTCCTTTTCCTGATTTTTAGAGGATATTGTACTCAAAATCCTGTCTCTACCAATTGTTACAAAACTTTAAAGTAGGTTGTGTTACATTAAGTACTTTTGGTCCCTCTAGTCAGAAGGGGATCTGGTAATATGCAATATAGGGGGTCAGCTCTCACATGTTCCTATCAGTATAACTCAATGATCTCCAGTGTGTAGGCATCCTAAATTGTTTGGGGGAAATTGCCCAAAAGTTGGTTCAGACATATATCACGCCTATGATTTCCTGTCACGTCATTTTGCACTCATTGATCCTTGATCAAGGGAGATCCCCTAAGAACTTCGAGAAACCCAGTTGAAGAAAGCTGCATAAATTTGGTGGATTCGCCTCCGTCAGCTTCTTTTCTTGCGGAGCATTATGCCCACTCAGTTTTTAGTTGCTAAAAGTGTGGGGAGCTTGTTATCAAATTCCTAATAGACAAATATATTGGCTAATTTGACATTACTGCCATTGGATGATAGTCATTCAAACTTGGCCGTTTTAGAGCAGTGAGTAGTTTTAGATATTATTTTACTGAATTTTGAGAAAATATTTTGTAAATTGAGTGTTACTTGAGCGTTTTTACTGCATGTCTTTTCCTATATTGGTATCAGCATTGCCCCCTGATGTAACCATATCTGTCAATCACTAGCCATAATGCTAAAATGACTCATCGTTCCTAGGAATAAAAGATGATTATCTCTGCGATAGATTATCTAGTTAATCAAACCACAGTGTCTTCTCTCTTTGCATTTAAGATGAGGATGTCTTCAAGGAACAGCTATTGGCTTCCATTGTTTTGATAATTGGAGTGTCAAATGCAAATCGTACCATTGACACATGCACTGCTCTGACAATTCACCTTTCCTGGTCAACTGAAACGATATCTATTGTTGACCTTTATGTGGAGATGAGAAATCATTGATGCGCAAATATCTGTGAGCAGACGGCTGTCTTTTTCAACTGTGAATAGATGCATTTTAATTCCTTGTTGTCTGTGTCTGCCATCAAGGTCGTCTTGTATTGTTTTGGTAATGTGTGTTGATATTTTTAGCTTGGTGGCTTATTAATGTTAAAATGGGTAGGTGGAGAATATTGTTTTGAGATCACTGGTGACTCTGTTAGGGGAGTTCTTGTTATAGTTCACTCAAATGATGACATAACTCACGTCATTGGCTGGCCTAGCTCAAGGCTTTAACTTTGCAATGGATTGTTGTGCACTACAAGCTGCTGAGCATGTACACTTCATTCTTTTGGCTGGACTAGACAAGGTCTGGATTGCAAATGTAAATTTTGCTGGTTTATTATTTGCCCATGGATGCAAATGAATCTTTTTCATATTGTCTGTCCATTTGTTTTCCCCTTTGCTTTAATGACAACAGCGCTCAAGCTGCATGAACTCCATAAGTTTATCAAAACCCGATCATGTTCTCCAGCATGGTTTTAGATGTTCCAAAGAGCATCTTGAGCTTCAATCAAAGAACATGATCAGTGATTAGTGACCTGGGAAAAAGTGCATAAGAAAAAGTTCATAATCTGAAATATTTCTCATTAGTTTACATTTAAAAATCTTCAAACTTTTAAAGGGGTCATATGATGCTGCTAAAAAGAACATTATTTTATTTATTTGGTGTAATGAAATGTGTTTA